TTGGATCTTAACAAGTTTTTGCTATTTTTGTCAAAGCTTCTTTCATTAGGATCAACTATTCAAAAACATCTGAGCTCTTTTCTACCAAAATCTCTTGTCTCGCACTGCACTTTTTAACTTTTTTGCTATTTCAAAGAACTATTATGGTCTAAAAAATTTTTTTCATGTTTCTTTTTTAACTTTAGCGATAAATTTTTTAACAAATTTTCAACTTCAGCTTGAAAGTGTTCAGTCATAACTAATCAATATGTAGTAAGAAAACTCGACATAAATTGCGTTTTTGTAATAAAAAAAAATGCTGTTCGTAGACGGCACGACACTACTAATAGCTTATAGTTCGGATGGGTTTCTTTTTCTTAGGGTAGGGATCCAGCAAATTGTGACTTCAATTACCAATAACTACCAAGAGCGAGCCGGTGATCAAAACTTTTCAAAACACGACTTGCTTGATGTAAGGCTACGGGTCGATTAAAATTGGACAAGTTTCAAGTACTTGTCCGCCTTGAGACTTTTTGATATTTTTGGATTTTTTCCCAACAAAACTTTTTCAAAACTTTTCTCGACTTTTTGTTGCCGTATCAATTATTTCGTTACTGCTATTACTTTTGCATCTTTATAGCGGTTTTTCATTTTCATTGCAATTTTTGACATTTTAATTTTTTTTTACGGGGTTATCGATGCTATCCCTATGAAATCACGTGTATTTTCTGATTTTTTTTCTTTTTTTTTATTCTATCATTTTTTTGAAAGTTTTTGGCCGGGTTTTGGACGGCTTAAGGTAAACTAATCAGCTACTGGGCTCGAGTCATTGCACGTTACTTTATAACAATAGTTTAAACTTTATTTTATAATAATCTAAATTTTACATCATTTGCTATTCTGTGTTCTTAACCAGCTCATTTTCTGACAAACTTTTAGATTTTTCCTGCTTAAATCGGGTTGATCAAAATTATGTGTTCACCACATATTTGCCCTCTGTTTTCAATGATGTAGCGTTGACAGCACCATTTTAAAAAATAGTTAGCACACCCAGACAAAAGAACTAAAATTTTTGATTGGTCTTACAAGTTTTTTAATGAGCAGGTTGACCGGTTGGGCGCAAACTTCAGTGACAGTCCTTCGACCTATCGTCAAGGTATTTACTTCCAAACCACAACCACTCGCACCTTCATGAGATGTCGTAGGTTCACCACAGAAATTGCCCAAACACTTGACGCAACACAATAATAAATATTCCGACACACTGGAATTGTCTCCACCAAACACTTTCCTCCACAATTATTATCTTCGCAATTTGAGGCGCTCACTCGGCAATTGAGGCTAGTGAAAGGGTAGTCAGTTGTGTAGGCCTCTAAAGTAGAGGTCGCTCTTCGTTGACTAAAATTGAAAATCATGGTGAAAGTGTATCTGCAGCGTGAAAGATGAAACTATTCAACCGTTCCGTATTTCTAGAAACGGATTTGGTTTTCATTGTCGAGTGTTCGGGTAATTGGAAAAGAACCCACGGGATACGACATTCAAATATTCGAGTAGCGGCTCCGAAAATGTGATTTTGGATGATTCTAAGTGGATATGACTGTCCAAGTTTTCCCCGCTTTCGTTATGAATATCGCTAAAAACGTGCCGAAACGATTTAACGTAAAAAACATCATTGAAAGAAAGTTTATCAAACGGTAACAAACAAAACTACCTCAGCAGAAACTTTTTAAGGCGAAAAACTCAAACACAGAAGCGAAGCGGACGATCGCATTATTTGCGATACTGAACAGATACAGCATTGCAAGCTAGCAGGCAGAAAATCATAAAACGACTAACTCACTCGAAATTTTTTTTTATTTTCGAAAAACCACAATTAAAAATTTGCAGAAATTTGTCTTTGACAAAACTGAACCTCATTAAATCTTTCAACAAAATCAGCACAATCACGGCTCTAACGTGTTACCGTTTGCAGAATTTGTAGTACACGGTAAATCATATACAGACGGCAATAAACTGACAGACAAGGTCAGACAAGATCATTTTTTAATGTTTTTCTTATTATTTTTAGTAATCTATCCATTTTGGTTCGGGTAAAAAACATTGGTTTTTGGGGGGTTCGAGTCTACGCTGATCCGGTCGGAGTCACTTTCTAGGCTTAGTTCTAGAACGCTTGGCCAACTGGTCTTAATCTTGTTCAATTTACTTGCTTTTTTCTGGCTTATGAATAGTTATTTGCGCGGCAACACCTGCGGAGTATAATAAAAAAACACAGTGCTAAAATTTGCAACCTTGAAGGTTAAAAACGCTTGCCCAACTGTAAGATTATAAGCTTAGCGATTACAAGCGATTATAACTTGTGTCCCCGCTAAGGAAGTTATTAGCTGGAAAAAAGATTCGTCTCATTTTCGATGGCCATTTGATATGCCTTGAAAGAGACTATACTTGCTTCTGTCAGATATAAATGAAACAAATTTGCTCGTATACTGGCCTGGTAGATGAAAACTACCAAAAACAGAGATAACTTTTACCAATCTTATTTTTTAAATTTTTTTGCTAGAGGGTACGTGTTCAGCTAATCGATCAAGTCCAAGTCAGGTAACATAAATTTAGTAAGAAACAATTTCAATGTAAAATAATTATTTACAACTAGTAAACTTTCCAGGTTTTTTCTGTTTTTTTTCTTCAGTTTTTATATTTTTACATCTGCAATGTTGTATCTTTTCAAAACAAAAAAAAATCTTTTTTTTTAAAATTAAAAAAATGATTTTCAAATGGTAAAAGCCATTGGTAATCCAAAAAATTGATTCACAATAAAAAATTAATCGCAATAATGTTTTTTCAGGCTAGTATTTCACTACTGCTTGTTATAAAACCGCATTTACAACCATTAAACATAAGTCTGAGAGATAGCCTTGAGTTCTTCCGGTCCGTTTATTAGACTCATTGCTGATTCACCACTGATAAAAATTGTTCTTGTAGGCGCTGCTCATTGATGAATCATCCTTAGTTTTTTGCTGATTCAGCGCTGATAGTTGAATTTATAAGCGCTGGGTTATCGATTATCAAAGTAGTCCCAACTTCAAACGCCTTTAAACTATGCAAAAAATAACCAAAAGTGTTTTATGTTTTGATTTGTTGACGCTAGGCAGGTGCGGATCTAAGAATTTCTCGAGGGAGGGGGGGGGGGGGGGGTTTGTTTAAAAAATTAAACTTTTCTCGACCTTTTTTATAGGTCGACCAAATTGATTTTCTGAGCTCTCCGAAATCACTATAAAGACCCTACGTTGACCAAATTTTCTGCGCTGCAGGCCATTTTTTCAAAAAGCAGGCCAAAAAGGCGTTTTTATGTACTTTTTGGAAAACTTCGACCAAAAAATCGCGTTTTTCGAAACTAGTATATATTGGCGAAAAAGGCGCTTTTAGAACAGTTTTAAGGCCAGTCATACAAAAATGGATATCTCAAATTAGTACAAAGGGGGGACCCTTTGGGTCGTCAGGGGGTCGTATCCCTGAAGGAAACAAGGCGTCCACCCCGCCCTTCTAAATCTGCTACTAACGCTAGGTATCAAGATTTTTCAGATGATTCAAGAAGAGTTTCAATCCAAAATTCCTAGTTGAAAACTCGAAATAAATCGGGATAAATCCAACCCTAGCCCAAAAACGCGTCACTTTTTTCAAAAGTCGGAATAAAAACAGAGAGAGAGAGAGAGAGAGAGAGAGAGAGAGAGAGAGAGCTGAGGTCTTTTCTGACCTTAGAAACTCAGAAACTGAGTTTGTATCTAAAATCAGAAATTGAATGAAAAGGCATAGAAAATTGAAAGGTAAAGACCAGAGAAACTAAAAATATATAAATTCTTTTCCCATCATGATAGCACTTTCAAAAATTATTTTAGACTAATAATGGTATGAAAAATCACTGACAGTTTATCAAAAACTTAGAAGAACAAGGATAGCCGAGTGATGTGCATATAGCGCAGAAAGTTCCGACACAATATTTAAAAATGTTCAGTTTTTTTTCAAATTGTGTCGTTTTCAATCCGTGTTTTAATTAGATGATCCAAACGAAGTCCTAGAAATGACGCATATTTGACTGCCATGGAAAAATGAGTAATTTGACAGCAATGTTACTCAAAAATAATTACAAGTTTTTTTTTTGAAAAATCATAGAAAAAAAAATTTTTAAGTTTTTTTCTAACAAAACACTTTTTAGAAAGCGCTAGAAGAAATTTCGAAAAGTGATGGTATGTCTTAATTTGAGTTATGAAAATAGACTAATATAAGCCTATAAATAAGATCTGCTTGCGCGCTTTACTTGCTCGAAACTTAACAAAACTGAAAAACTTTGAACAGTTCTTCTTGAAAATCATAAATGGTTTTGAGAAAACTTTGAAATCGTTTTTGAAATCGTTTAAAATTGCACAAAAACTTAACAAAATTCAAAAACTTTGAATTGTTCTTCGTCTCGACAATCAAAAATTGTTTTGAGAAAGCTTTAAAATAGTTTTAAAACTGTTTAAATTTGCCCGAAACTTTACAAAACTCAAAAACTTCGAGCAGTTCTTCTCGACAATCAAAAATCGTTTTGAGAAAACTTTAAAATCGTATGAATCCGAACTGAAATGGGGGCTTTGTTATGACATATCATTCGACTCATTCCGATGATTGTTTGATTTTGCGTGAAAAAAACTAAAACTCGTTTTAAAAGGACCCTTTCAAAGCTAAAACGGAGTTAAAAGGGTCTCCTTATTGTCAAGGGTTGGAAAAAAAGAACATTCTACAAAAATGATGTCTGACTAGCTCAACCAGCTCAATTTTATCAATATATTTCGGACGAATTGTTTTGATTGGTTTGTATTTTCCATAAAACTTTCAGCAACTAAAATGGAAAATTTACGGGCCCATTGAAAAGTCAGGAAGAATTTATGTCTGACCATACAAATCCAGATTAAATATGGTACCCTTGCTCAAAATGTGGATATGCAAATATCACCTAGATGACTTCAATAAACACTTAACAACAAATTGTTTACCCTAGTCAAAGCTGACCACTTCAAAACCTCTCTTAAGTTTTACCACTGGCAGCCTCAAATTGAATAAAATTTTAAATAGTTTTCCAGCTAGAGCATTTGAAGTTAATCATGGCTTCAAAACAGCGAAAAATTTTGGCTCTTGGTTTAGGCCTTAGTCTCTACGTTATAACTGGACTAAATGACACATTTTGGACATCATTCTTCCCGACTGAAATGGCGAAACTTGGCTTGTCCAAAACGACTATCGGAAACATAGCTTCTGCATACGACTTAGCAGGACTTGTTTGCTCACTTCTAATGATGTTCATCCAAGCACCCCAAATGCAGCTGTTTCTATTCTGCACCGGATCCGTCATCGTAGGCGTCGGCTGCATGACTTTCGGCCAACTGATATATATGCCTCAAGGTTACATTTTCATAGCCATGTGTTTCCTCACTCGATGTGTGATGGGATGTGGCTCAACTTTCCTTTGGTGTTGCGGAGCGCCGAATTTGATCTCACTGTTCCCGAAGCATACAGGCCGAGTATGCAGTCTGTTTGAGTCGGCGGCGAGTGCCGGAGCTATACTCGGAGCACCGCTTGGGAGCTTTTTGTTCGCCTTGGGGGGTTACACTCTCCCATTTTGGGTAATTGGAATGATTCAAGTCATCCTCCCGTTCTTTTGTTACATTGGCCATCCTAAAACTAAGCCCTGCTATAATGAAATTAGTACCAGCTCGAAAAAAGACATCTCAAAAGCCGGCGTTGTTTCTTTTATCTCTCACCCGGGAGTCCTATGCATTGCTCTCGGCGCCACGATTACAGTGTCCTCGTTCGGCTTTTTCAACGTGGCGTTCGCGCCTTATATTCAACAGCAATTCAGCATCGGCAGTAAACGGGCGGGGATATTTTTCCTCTCTTTCACAATTGCTAGACTGGCTGTTGCGCCCATATTTGGCTGTTTCATCGACAAGGGCTACGGCGGCTTTATTTTCAGCTTTTTCGGATGTTTTCTGAGCGCTTTATGCTTCATTATTTTGGCAATCACTCCCCAAATACCTTTCTTGAACAACATGGTTGCTCTGGAATTTATCCTGGGTGTTATTGGAATGAGTTCAACAGCTGCGTTTTTGCCCATAATTGCGCTTTTCCAGAAGGTCTACAGATCCGGAAAAGATCGAGCCACGTCTGATGTAAATTTGATCAGCTATTCAGCGATAATGAGTAATTTGTGCTTCACTTCTGGGATTATTTTGGGTCAAAGTGGGCTTGGGGGAATCTTGTATGACTACTTTGGGTTTTTTAACAGCTGTTTTGTGGAAGCAGCATTGTGTGGTTTTGTAGCAGTGTTTTCAGGCGTCTATCTGTCCATAAAAGGATTGATGTGCGAAAAATGAGAAATATGATATGAAACAGGATCTTTACTCATTAAACTGGTGGTATAATATGAACATATATTTATTGAATTTGTTGTTAGAACTTCTGTATTCAGTATTGAAATGGATTGTCACAAATCTGTTTTCGAATGATATGTCGGCCTAGTTCCCACGGTTTGATGAAAAATTGCGTCAGAGGGTTTGATTGCGTTTTTTGAGGAATATTTTTGAAAGTTTGAGATAGATGTTTAACTTTTTGAAACTCCTTCAGGGCTTCTGATTGGACTGAAAAAATCAGAAGCAACTGAGCTCAACTTGAATGAAATATGACGGCAAAAAAAGCTTTCTGAAACAATTTACTGCGTGGTAAAAAAATTCAATTATCTTCAATTTTCTATGTTGCGATTTATTTTTCAATGGTTCAACCAAGTTTTTCATATTTTCAATGAAATTTTTTGCGACCCAATTTTTCTTCACGTGTCTTGATTCAGGTACAAAAAGTCAAATTGAAAAGAAAACTGTTTATAAAAACTTCACATAACTTTACGCAAAACCAAAATCCATTAGATCAAAGCCCAAAATTTTTCTTACAAAAAGAAACCGTTTATTAGCATCTATTAAAGCTAGTCTGTGCTCAATTGACCTTTTTTGAATAAAAACAACGCGCAAATACTTTTATGGAGGTAGCCAATTAATGAACAGAATGGTCTCAGAGCAGAAAGGGTCTTAGAGCAGAAAAAAAGAGAAATATTGATTTATACGGGCTAATTGATTAAACAAATTTTAGAATCATCAACACTATCAAGAAAACGAAAAATTATGCATTGATTGAGTACTTTTCAGTGTTTTTTTTTTAAATAAAAAATTCGAGCAAATGGCTCAATTTTTAATGCATAATATACTCGTTTCTATGATAATGTAGATAATTCTAACATTTTTACCGATTAGCTTCTATTGTTTTTCCGCTCTTGGGCTCTTTCTGCTTTTAGATTTTAATTTTACGCTTGTTATGAAGATTCAGTTCGAATTTGATCCTGTAAAACTCCACTCAAATGTAAACAAGAAATGGTAGTTTTGTAGAGCTTCGAGTTGAAATATTAAACTAGAATGCCAAAATGAGTTTTCAACAGTTTTTGATGCAATGAAGTCGATAAATGAAAAAATCAAAAAAAAAACAGGCATTTCCAAAGATGGTTTTGAGATTATATACCGCTAAGCAAAATTACAATAAAGATCGCAAGTTTGCAGCTAAAAAGAGAGAGCTTTCATTCAAATCCAAATTAAACAAGGATAGGCGGTTACTGTGCCAGTAGCACAGAATGTTGCGAGTTGCGACCATAGTCCTTAGAAAACTACGGTTTAGAAAGTTTATTTTTTCAAATTAGTGTAGTTTATTCTGCTTTGTGTGATAAGAAAGATCTGACCTAAAAGTATAATTTAGGCATATTAGACAGTCATAATAAAATAGGCGAATTGGACAAAAAATTTTGCAGAAAACGACTAGAAAAACTAGTCTAGGAAAAACTCGAAAAATGACTAGGAAAGATTTTTTTATTAATTTTTGCAGAAAATTTTGAAACTTTTTGAAGTTTTTGGTTCCCAAAGTAAAGCTCCAAAAACTAATTTGACTTGCTTAAAATTAAATTTTACGGTCTTAAATTAGGTATAATTCGGCATATTTCGGCTTGTTAGACTGCTCGCTTGCTTTATTTGCTCGAATAAGGACAAAATCAAAAATTTCAAACCAGTTTCACTCGACACTGGAAAAATTTTTTCGGAAATTAGACTGAAAGGGCTCTAGAATGATGTATCACTCAACCCAGTCCGATGGTTATTTGTTGTACCTGATTATGCGTGGAAAACAAAAATAAAAAAACTAAAATACACCCAACACCCTAATACAACGTTCCTCCCCATTTTCAATGGTCGGAACAACAAAGATTGCAAGCTGACGTGCAAGTAATCAGTTCTCAAACCATTCCTATGACTATTGATAGTATTAACTTTTCATGGAAAACGAAAACAAAAAAAAACTAGTTCTTTCCCATTTTCAATAGCCGGAACAAAAAAAGTGCTCTCTAACAGTATTTAACATTTTTGACGCATACTAGATCTAAAGTTATTCAGTTTTACCTGGGAAACAAAATCGGTATTTTTGAAGCAAATTTTAAAAATTGGTTTGATCATATTTTTTGAGTAAGTTTGCTCGCAGTTTAATTGACTGTTTTGAAGTTTTTGAGCGGTTTGGCGGTTTCCAAAGAGTTTGAGCTGCTTATGAGCAATGTGAGTTTTCTGAAATAAAATATACTCAAACCGCTGAATTTAGTGCCATTTTGGCAACTAAAGCTGACCCCTTGATAAAATTTCCGAGACCTAGTCAAATGACATTCAAAAGTCAACCGCGATATCATGGAAAAATTATGCAACACTATAGTTAAAAGTACCATAGTTAGTCCTAAAATCACAGTAGTTTAGGTTAAATTCCCAGAAGTTTAGTTAACACTTAGATAAAATTTCCGAGACCATAATTTAAATTTCCGAGACAGAAGTTTAAATAAAATTTTCGAAACCAAGTCAAATGACATTCAAAAGTCAACCTCGATATCCTGGAAAAATCATGCAACACTATAGTTAAAAATACTATAGTTAGTCCTAAAACCACAATAATTTATCCTAAAACCACTTTAAATATTTTTTAGAACTTAAGATATCTTGAGTATACCAAATGCTTGGTTGTCTTATAATAAAGTTGCGAAATCTTTGCAAGTTGTCCAAGGTCACTTGAAATAAGAAACCTTGGAAAGATCATAAAAAGTCTCCTAAACAGTTGAAAAAATTATTCATGTCACTCGGACAAGCCACAAGTACGCATATTCTTGGCAAAATACTTCAAATCCAAAATTCTGGGGAAGGAAGCGCATCTTGTCTTAATAGATTACCCACAATATCTGAATTGAAATCCATTGACAGTTTCAGTTATTGCCAAATACTATTTTTCCAAAGTGTTGAAAAAATCAACAATAAATGAAATAATACTTTATTCACCGCTATTAGCTCATGTTTATGGTTGTGTTGCAATTTCTTGGAGTTTAAATTTTACGACCATTGCCATCTTTTAGAAGAACCTAGGATGCACCTTTTTTCAAAAAATTTTTGAAAGTTTCGTTGATGTATTTTTTTTCACGTATGATTCCCTTTGGGACTATGTTTAAAAAAGATTATGAAAGCAGAACTGAAAAAGCAGAACTGAGAAACATTAAGCCAGGCAATATTTTGCTTTCAAAAAGATATGATTTGAAATTCATTTACTTTTGCAAAAATCATTTGTTTCATTTTGTGAAATATGGATGTTGTTTGTAATAAAAAAAAATAACAAGCATAGAAACGTATTCTAACCAAAAATTCTGTTTTTCCACAAGCTGCTTAAGGTGGGGATCATTTTCATGCAGCTGAAATGCTTGATATTCTTTCACTGCTGTAAACAGAGCATTCGACATCTCACAAAATACACCGAGATCAATTGTCCCTAAATTTACACTATTCCACAAACAATTCGTTTCTAGTCCGTAACTATAGCTAGCTCCCATGAATTTAAACTTTTTTTATGTGATTTGATTGGTTAATAACAAAAACTTTGCTGTCATATTCAAAGCAAAAGATGTAACTCATGAAGTAATAAACAGAAATAAAACTCCGAATGGGTCGCAATTAACCCAAACTGGGAGATCGGAATTCGAAAAGCTATGTAAACGTACAGACGTCTCTGTTAAGCCATCTTTGTGATAAACATTGTAAGTTTTTGGGAACTTGAATAAACAAGAATAAAACAGCAAATTTTGGTGCACCATAAAAATTGATTGCAAAATAACCAAAATCAAAAAAATTCATGCATGACCATATAAATTTTGAACCAATCGTAGGTCATATTTTTAGATGGACATAATTTTTTGGATGTTTCGATTGTGTTGTTTGATGCAGCCAAATCTGGCATTTTGTTTTTGCTTATCGAAGTTGCCAGAAATGTACACTCTATTTACAACAATGGTCTATCAAATACGTCTGAAATTTGACATAATTTTTCTAATGACATTTTGTCAGACTGGGTTTGTTATAAGATGAAAGTTCATAAAAACCGGTTTGATCAATGTGGCTCAAAAGTGGAAACCAAACATTTTTTATTTCGTTAGTTGGACTCACGATAGGCTCATGAGGACTTTCGAAGACAATTGAGGACCGAAGTAACCAAGGAATGGCTCAACGGGATTTCTAAAAATTTGTTTTTTTTCTCTCTGACTGATCTGAAACTCAGAGTCAATCACATTTTCCGTCTTTTAGATATGGTCGAAACATTAAAAACTTTTTGTTACCTTGAAGAACTGCTTCACGTATAAGTTTAGGTTACTTTCTAATAATTAGTTATGCTGAAAAAAAATAGCAAAAGTTTGTTAAGTTTTAATTTATTACTTAGTCTAGCTTCTATAACTCAAAAAAACTTGATTTTAGTTTCTTTTTATAAAAAAAATTCCAAAATCATTGTTATTGAATCCAACAGGAAGTTTATTGATTCTTCTGCTTTACTTCAGTTTTAGCTTTAGAGCTGCTCATTGTTATGATCATTAGGTTTTGGTTTTTTAAATTTCAAAATGCAATCATGCGACTTGTGTAGCGCTCATATCTTCCAAAAAAATGCACTTCTTTATTTACTAGCTAATATAAAAACAATTGTCAGCCATGAGCGTTCCAAAAAGATTTGATAATGATTTTTTTTAAATTTCTATTGAAAATAAAGAGGTCAACGAAAACCGCTTGATCACTTCATATTTTGAAAAACGCTGCAATCAGAACTGAAGAAGTTGCCAGGAATAAATTTTGGTAATTATTTGTCAAAACCAAGACAGATCTAAAAATAATCAGTTTTGCCAGGGAAAACAGAGTCGGTACTTTTGAAGCAAAATTTAAACATTGGTTGAGGTTAGTTTTAAAATAAGTTTTAGCAAAATGTTGTTTAGAACTTAGCTGTTTAATACAGTGTTGATTTAAATTAACCGTACAAAACGCGTTAAACTTGAAATTTAAAACGCGTTTTTCTCAAATTGGG